TGGCATACGGAGGATAGACCTTTTCACACTTGAGCCAACTTGAACCAAGCTTTGAGTGTTTGAAATCACTCAAAGTGTTTGCAATTAGTTGCGGCAGGGCAGCACCACAGCTTGTTTGAAGATGATGTGGCTTGAAGCGTTTGGACCGATTGTCTTCTGCCAGAACAGGAGCATTCGCCTCCGGCCAGGTTCCTTGCTGCCGTTTGCAACTGAATCACTTGCAATGCCTTCGGGTGGGAAAAGGATACTTGCACAAGTAGTAACAAGAAGCTAGTAGGAACAAGTGCATCGCTTCTAGTAACAGGACTCATATAATATAGGACCATCTCACTTTTCTCGTGTTTTCTCCTCCCGAGCTAAGCGCAAACATTCTTGTGACTGGAAACTACTATATATTTGGCGACAAGGTTGTGAGTCAAAATGCACTTGTGATTCCTATACATAATAGAGAATAATAATTTAAAGAGTCAGAAACGAATAGGAAGAAGCAGCATGACGGCATGGCAGTCTAGCTTCACGAGCATGGAGGTTCACCTTTTCACTTACCAGAGCGCTCTTAGCCTCAAGGAAAGACGCTGCCCGAAGCTTCCTCGCCGCCGGTTCGCTTTTGATGGTAAGCGGAGCCGGATTCATTTCCGGTGACCGCTGAGCACGGCTGCTGGCCGCGCTCGCGCTGCGCTCCTCTCCGCTGCGCTGGCCGTCCACGTGGGCGCTAGCGCTCCTACATCCCGACCTTCGCCTTCGGCATCCTGCTGGACCCCAAGAAGGTCATGTCCACCTATGTGAGTGGCAGCATCCTGACGGATCGCCACGGCGTGCCGCAATACAGCGGCGAGGCCGAGCTCTTCGAGGAGTACGAGGAGCGGGCCTGGGACCTTTTCCATGGCAGAGAAGGCCAAGAGTCCCTACAGATCTCAACGCCTGTCCACCTCCGGGCTGGCCTGACTGGAGCTGCTTACGAATCAGTTCGTAAGCTGGAACATGGAAAGCTCAAGACCAAGACCTCCGAGGGCAAGCCAACCGCGGAGGGAATGAAACTGCTGCTCAAGACTCTGAAGGACTCCATCGCGGCAGAGCTCCCAGTCGAGACGATGCAACAATACATCATCCGCCGTGAGCAGGACTTCAAGAGGTTGGAAGAGAACAACACCGGAACACAGGTGTCAGAGCAGATCAGGGCTATGATGCTTCTTTGCTTTGGCGGCCTGGATCCAAAGGAGCAAACTTCAGTTCTCAGCTCCTGCAACAACGAGTACGACTTCGCCAAGATCTCCCATGCGATGAGGATCCAGTTTCCCAATGCCGCCGGGAAGCAGGTCATGCGCCGTGACTACCTAGGTGCTCGCTCTACTGGTGGTGGTCATCTCCCTCAGCACCTGATGAAGCTCCGATGGAAGCAACGCCTCGAAGGTAAGTCCAGGCAGATCCTGGCTGTTGAGGACGAGCCCGACTATGAGCAAGGAGATGATGATGCCTACTACGAGGATGAGGGCGACTATGTTGGTGAAGGGGATAGTGATGAAGCCTACCATCAAGGCTACTCGGACGATGACATCATGGATGTGCTGCTCAATGAGTTCCCCGACATGTCCGAGGATCCCCAAGTCGCCGACACCGATTCAACAAGAAGAAGAAGTTTGGCACTTCATCGAGATCTACCACTCCATCGAGCTCTACTACAGGTGCATCCCACCCGGTCGGATTCACGGCCAAAGGGGAGATGAGTTTTTCCGAGAAGGCTCGTGACCAGCGGCGGACTGCCGTGAAGTTCTTGAAGTCGGTGACGCCCTGCACTGTTTGTCACCAGAAAGGGCACTGGGCTGGTGATCCAGAATGTCCGTCTTCTCGCAAGGGCAAGGGAAAGGGCAAGAAAGGTGGCTCTCCGAAGAAGAAACCTCACAAGATTGCCACCACCTTGTTTGTGCATCACAGCCCGAAGGACGAAGACTCCTTCCTTGCCGAGCAGTCCACCCCTGACTCTCCGGACGGTGGCCCAGAGCGCTACATGACTGAGGACATCTACTCGCCTGAGTACCTCAAGGTCCCTGAAGCCTCCGAAGCTCCGGAAGAGATTGAGCCTCTCCAGAATTCGTACGACCCTGCTGGCATCTATGGCACTACCCTGGACTCCGACTCTGAAGTGTCCTATGGCATGTTCATGCTTGCGCACTACACCCTCCAGAGTGCCAAGGCCACTGCGGAGCCCGATGTGAAGATCACCGATGCCAGTCGGCAGGTCAAGCGCCGAAAGCGAGTCGCATTCAGTCATGTGTGCGACGACTCCACTGATGATGCAGAGGCCCTGGTCATTCTCAACTGCCCCAAGCTCTGCGAGCATGCCTCGACCAACGGAGGCACTGAACGTCGATTTCATCGTGGAGCAAGTCCTGGGCCGACCAGATGGAGAAAGAGCTTTTGGCCCGTGGTCTCTCCTCATCGAAGAGGTCAAGAAGCCAGATCTTCAAGGGCATCGGTGGAAAGATTGAGCCCAAGCATGTGCGTGTCTTCCCCATGGGCATCTACAAGGTCCATGGTGAGATCCACTCCGCCGAGACACCTGGCAATACGCCCTTGTTGTTGAGCCGTCCCTTCATGGAGGAACTGGGCGCAGTGATCAACTTGGCTGATCAGACCATCTCCTTCCTCGCCATCAATGTCCACAACATGCCGATGTGTAAGACCTCAAAGGGCCACCTGGCATTGAACCTTTTGGACTTCAACATGGACAAGCTCGACGAATTCATGAGCGAGGCCGAGGAGGAGAAGGAGAATCAGAAACCCTCCGAGGCGTCTGGAGAACAGCCTCCTGATCAGTTTGATCCTGCTCAAGACCCTGAGTACCTCAGTTGGCTGGAAAGCACTGCACCACATGAGTACACCCACGACTACGGTGGTCTCAATCCCGATGAGTTCGAAGACCATCAGGACATCCTTGCCATGATGAAAATGGATGTGCAAGGTTATGATGAGTGCCACTTCGTGTGCGATGATGAGACGCTCTTCGCCGACATCGCTTCCAAGGAGTACCGTGTCCGAAAGACCACCAACAAGAAGTGGAAGCGCATCTGCGGCATGGAGCAAGCTCTCGAAGGTGAAGACTTCCTTCACCGACGTGTCCTCCAAGGGCAACTCTCAAAGATCCCACGACAACCTCACTTTGGTCGATGCTGGATCAAACAACTCTTTGCCGGACAGATGGGCTTGACTCTTCTCGCAGCTCTGATTGGCATGGCCTGTGGGGCCCCCCTGGACTACAACATCAGCGGATGGGACGCAACCACATCACTTGGCAAGAAGCAGCTGCACCACGACATGATGCACGAGGACCGTGATCCCTCACCCCTGCGGTCCGTGGGGAAACTGGTCCCGCTTCAACCTTGCCAAAGGTGGCCCTGCGCAAGAGACTGTTGAGAACCTCTGAGAAGAGAACCGTAGCCTCCTTCGCACGGTCAACAAGACAGTCAAGGACCGAGTCCGTGCCAAGAGACATGTGTTTCTGGAGCAACCACTGGGCTCTCAAAGCCTAGAGGAACCCGAGATGAAGGATGTCAAGACCATGGTCGACAATGACACCCTCTTCTACATCATCGTTGATGGTTGCCAAGTTGGCTATAAAGATGCTGAAAGCGGCCTTCCGAACAAGAAGCCAAGCTACTACATCACCAGCATGGTCGCTGCCGAGAGCGTTTTCGCTGATTGTCGTTGCGATGGCTCCCATGAACATGAACATCTAGAAGGACGCAACACCTATGGCAGCAAGACAGCTCAAGCTTCTGTCTGGCCTCACCAGCTCAATGAGATGGTCCTGACCACCATCATGCAGCAGCGAGAGATTGAGGTCAATGCGGTGAAGAACACCCATGAAGCTTTTCCTTCAGAAGCCCGCAGGCTCCGACCTCGCAAAAGAGGACGTCTGCCGTCTCATGGATCAGTACTCAGCACCACCTGTGCATGTCCGACCTCCTGATCTACCACTTCCTTTGGACGATGATGAAGTCCTAGGTGAGGTTTCTGATGCAGAGTACCGCTCTCATGCAGCTGCTGGTCTAGATCCACTCCTTGACAGGACCGAAGCACAACGTCGGCAAGAGTGGCTGGAGGTTGAACCAGATCTCAGAAAGACACTCCGGACTCTCCACGTGAACTTTGGGCACCCTTCAAATGTGACCCTGATGAGAATCCTTCGACGGCAGAATGCAAAACCAGCTGCCTTGCGAGCCGCCAGCCTCATGGCTTGCGACACGTGTGGAGAGAGCATCCGTCGACGCCGGCCAAAGCCGGTCAAACTTCCAGGTTCCTACACCTTCAACAACCACCTCTCCCTGGATGTCCTCTACTGCCGCGACGCAGCGAACAACCAGTTTTCCTTTCTCAATGTCATTGATGAGGGCACTGGCTTCCAGGTGGTGACTTGCTTGGGTGAATCACGAGGACCTCCTGCTTCTAAGGCAATTCTCCGACACTTCCTGACATCATGGTCATCATGGGCAGGACTGCCTCGCTCCATCCAAGTTGACCGCGGCCGTGAGTTCTTGGCCCAGTTCGCCGACTACCTCAAGCAATTTGGTGAAGCGCCCTGGAAACAAGGCAAAGTGGAAAAGGCAGGCGGCCTTTGGAAAGAAGTGATGAAGAAGGTTGTCACCGAGAGCCAAATCATTGGCCTGCAGGACATCATCACTGCCACCGCCATTGTCACTCAGATCCGGAACTCACAGCCCCGAGCAAATGGTTTCGCTTCCACACAATGGGTAATGCAATCCTCGGATTAATCAACGGGCCCCCCCCCCC